CGACAAGCTTTTTTAAAAACGAAGTAAATTAGTACAAATTGTTAGTAATTTTCATTAGAGTTTGAATAACCCCTTTCACTAAATGGCTTTTAGTAACTTTAACGAGACCTTAACTTATTTTATTTTATTCATTTTAGTGCAGTTTTGACAAAATTTTCTTGCTAAAAAATCTTTTGTTACACTACTTCATTTTATTCCTTTGATTGTACAAGTTAAATAAAAGCTTGTTTTTAAAAAATATTTTTTTTACATTATTTTATTTAATAGATGAAAAAGGTTATTGCCAAATCCTCAGTGTTGTGATATTAATCCACACACAATCATGAACTACCACCAACTGATTTTATTAAAAAAATTTAATTACGAATATGTAAAAAACGATGCGAAAAACTAAACGCCTGCGCCCAGCTGGAATACGAGAAATATTTGAATAAAGGGTGTAGAAATGATCCATAATGTGCAAAACATGTTTCGTTTCTACAAAAATAAAGCGAACACTATTAAATTGAAGAAACAGTCCATGTCCAAAAACCCCGGAGGAACACTGATATAATTCTGTGTTTTAAATTAGCATATTTTGAACGAATTCGGAATGTATAAGGTGGAAAAGAAATCAACCTTTCTATAAGGAAACAATTATAGGAAAAGAATTTTCTTACGCTGTATTCATGTCTCCGCCAGAAATTTGTGACGACATCATTTAAAAGCAGCTAAGGAGAATGACGACACTATTTATTAGAAGGCACATTCAACGAACCATTGTGCCATAATGCGGGTACAAACAATTATTGATTATTTAATATCGGAACCGAGATCATATAAGTTAATTGATTGGTTTTCACACACTTTTGAAACACAACTTATATGCTTTTTTACTGCAGACAAGTTGTTGCCCCAAAACACAGCAGAAATCTTCCAATCAGGGCTGCCAACTATCCTTAGTTATGAGGTGCCATATTGAAGATAAAAAAGTGCCAAAAAGTGCCAACTAGAAAAATAAAAGTGCCAAAAAAGGTGTCATTCCTTTTAATCATTCACATTTAGCAATAAAATAAAGCCCCATTTTCCAAACAAAAGTGCAATGATAAAATAAGATAAACCAGTTGAATAGCCTTTATAAATTAGAAAATTTTAGTTAAGAAAAAGAAATGCACGCAAAGGATTTCAGAAAAATGTATTGAAATGTAATTTTTTTTACACAAGTGCCATTTTGGCACTTTGTGCCAAATTGAAAAATTAGATGCCATTTGAAGTAAAATAGGGACAAATGGGCCGGTTTGAGCCAAGTTGGCATCCCTGCTTCCAATTACTTACAAATATAAAAATGTGAAATTTTGAGGGCTTGAATTCATTAATACCCTCTATCAGCAATTTGCTCAAAAACTAATTTGTGATTGTAGAAACCATATGGGACTTATTACCTGTCGATATATAAGGTAGCATTAATATCACTGATTACAGTTAAAGCTTAGGTGGATTTTTATATCAGAATCTCATCTTTGTGAAAAGTGTGCAGATAGAGGGTATTATTGAATATAAGCCCTCGATGTTTAAAATATATTAAAATTTTATTTCAACGTATACAAAAAATAAATCTACCTGCGTTACAGCACAGAGGGAGAAGGGGAAGGGGGCCGGGGGGGCCGCGGCGTAGCGGGACGAGCCACACTGCGCGACCGGCGCGCTGACGCGGACCGCCGTTAAGCTAAGCAAATTTAATGTTTGAAAGAGAAATAATGTGGGATTTTATTTCGTTTTTAAAAGGGTAATAATGTCAATTGACTTTATTTCGCATCAGGGTGGGAAATAAAGTCAATTGACCTTATTTCCGTTGATATTATTTACTGTCACACACATGTATTAATAACACTGTACGGCAAAATACATTTTTTTCCTGGGTATTGGAACAAACCAATTTTTTTAAGAGATTGCGTCATAGGTAAAACAGTAATTTCTCCGTTTTTCGAAGTTCGCCTCCGAAATAGAGATATGGGCCTTCGAAGTTCGAAATAAGACCTTTGTTAAAAAATTATATTTAATTATTGCATGTAAATAACTAAAAAACACAAAGTTCGGTACTTCGAAAAATTAAATTCCCTATATTGCAAACAATTTGAAGTGATTTTTAAAAAATTTATATAGTTGTAAAGACGAGTAAATCCCCTTTGTTCTAAT